AACAGTTGCTTAGCCTTCCTTTCTGGAGGCATTCGCAACACATGCCCAAGCCATCGCAGCTGTGACTTCAACCTGAACAAGTAGCGGCTGTACACCAAGACTCTCTTGGAGAACGAATTCCTTGTTAGAGAGAGAAAATTAACAGCTAGTACGAGAAATGATATAGTGTTTGAATTCTGGCTACGTTTTCAATAATAAGGCAAAAATAGGAAGCACCTCGATATTACAAGATTCACATCAAAATATTCATACCGCATTGAAATGGTATTTCTAAACTTTAGTACCCCAGTTCAAACTTAAAGATGGACAGTTACTGTCGACCAGTGGTAATGTTACCGTTCACACCTAAGGTATCTCAACGTATTTATGGGTACCTCAATAACATCGGTTCAGAGACTACTACAAGACTGGCAGAACATTGGGCGACATCTTATTTAAAAAGTATTTGCCCATTAACAATGTCAAATGTTGTATACATGGTTCATTGCACAGACTGCAACAAGGTGTATATTGGAAAGACCAACCGAAAAATGAATATCAAAATAAGAGAGCACCTTTCTGCGGTCTGCCTTTGGCAATGTGACAATTCCGGCATTGCCCAACATGTGATTACAGAAGGACACGCTTTCAGTCTAACCAATTTATCTGTTATAGACAAAAACCAATCTAAATTAGGTTTACTGATAAAGGAGTCCTTGTTTATACTGGCAATGAAAAAGAGGATGTGCAGTGAATACACGTCTTCTGTGGTTATCAGCAAAAGCTGGGGAACGATTGCAAAATTGATAAGATCGTTTTAATGAAAAGTTTACACTGGTTTGTTGGTTAGTTTATTGGTCAGTTTTTTGGTTAATACGGCCATTTGGTTTAACAGAATTTTGGCTGTAACGTACTGTCGTTTGATGGACATCTGCCTTCAAGCATTCATCATGTACTTCGCCTGGTCCTGATGATGCTACGGTCTACGTAGCGAAACGCGTCGGCCTCAAATTATTTTACCATCTGCAGTGTTTGGTGCCCTGAACCATGAATCGTTCAAATAATCTAATCTTCATAACTATGACATCAGAATCGAAAACCTAAGGAAGTATTTATTAGGTTCACATAATTCAAGATTCACATAATCGTAATTCGTGGTGATGGTAATTACTTGAGATAGGTGTTTGAACGATTCATGGTTCAGTGAACCAAATACAACATATGGTAGAATAGTTTGTTAATGCCGTTTATAAACCGTAGCATAATGAGGGCTGGGCTGAACAGAAATAACTGACTTCGTCCAATAGATGAACGGTACTTTACAATCAAAATATTATTAAACGAAAGGTCTGAATGTTAATTAACGAATAGTGTGAAGATCTCATTAAAATAATTGAATCATTACTGTGCTAAAGCCATTTTTTGTATCAATTTTGCAATCGTCCCCCCAGCTTTCGCTAATAAGTACGGAAAATGTGTATTCATTGCACATCCGGATTTTCATTGCCACTATATGCAAGGACTCCTTTATCAGCAGGCGTAATTTAGATTGGTCTTTTTCAATAACAGTACATTGGTGTGACTGAAAGAATGCCATTCAATAATCGCATGCTAGGTAAATATCAGAGCTGTAAGCCTGTCCAAGGCGGACCACAAAAAAGTGCTCTTTTACCCGGATGCACACCATAAAGCAGTCTCTACAGTGAACTTTGTATACGACATTTGACTCGTCTTCAGGGTTATTAACGTATCTGTACTTTTTGTATGAAATGTCGTCCAATGTTCTGCCAGCCATGTAGTAGACCCTAAACCCCATGTCATTAAGGTATCTCGTGATACGCTGAAATACCTGAGATATGAACGGTAAAATTGCACGGTAACTGGTCAACTTTAAATTTGAGCTTGGGTACAAAAGTTCTTCAAGGATGCTCCTCCGATAACTGTTCTTTGGAAACGCTAGATTAGGCGACGTTGGATTTCGTCGTTTAAGCCCGAAGTGCTAGTGCATGTCTCTTGGGATCGAAGACGCACCTTCTTTACAACGTTCCTAAGTAGTCCAAGGGGGACATGTGACTTTAAATTAATTCACTTACATTAAATTAAGTAATTACTTTAAAATCAAACTTTCATGAACGAATGATTTGCCAACTTTTGATTATTTCGAAATCTGCGCAGGCTGAGATGTATCTGGTGCACAGACAGTTTGCTCTAAGACATATCGATCCTCATGTTTTGAGTTCCTTCAGTTCTGAAGTAAGGAAAGATTGAACTCATGATTTGGAGTTATTTGGGGCTTGCTTGTTTTCATGAAGTTAATAGTGCTGATCTCTGGTTCGGTATCATCAACCAGAAGTGTCTTATCTTCAAGTCAGAGCTTACAACTATGTTGCAAACGTACAGCGGATTCTGCCATTTCCTGTTTCCTTCACACAGAGTGGAAGTCTTTTATCGACCTCAGAAGGAAGAAAATTTAGTGACCGGACCGGAACTGGAACGTGGGAATCGTCGGTTTTGAGTGCAGCGTTCTATCCATTGAACAACCCCGGTTTTCTACAGTGTCTGAGGCTCTTGGCCTTAATATGCGATTAATACACTAGTCGACGCAAGCTTAATTTCACATTATAAATATTTATAAGAATAAAAATCAAGCCGATATAAAATTGTACGAAGATTACGGGTGGCAATCGTACCCAAACGTCCAGTACATTTATTGGGGGGACAACGACAAGAGGTTGGCTTTGAACTTCAGAGATTGCCTCAATTTACTTCGATGCCGCCGGTCGAGAAACTTGCGAACAGCAGGGACAGCATGGTAAGGGGTACATGTTGCCTGAGGCGAGAGTCTCACAGGGCCGCGATCCGTCTTGACACTCACACGACGTGATTCCTGGATGTCGCATGAGTAAACGCACAACGAACGTTTCCGTGGCCAAAAGTTTTACCGTCCATTT